AGGTAAGCTAAATTAGATTGCGAAATTTGTCTGTTTTTTTTGTCCTCCTGATTTCACAGGTTGAGTGATAGAGCAATCCTATAGTAATTCCTTGTGTCCCCGAAAACTCATCTATCCTATGAAAATCCCAAAAAAACTTAAGATTAATAGGATGTTCTACCAATTCAGTACAGAAGTTTCTAACTGGTCCCACTTACTTTGATTACTTGGATTCTTAATCAAGATGATTTGTGTTCTTGATTGTTGATGATAAAAGTAGGACCAGACATCAGAGTAAGAATTCCATTTTGTGGGACTCTAACTTCTTGTTCTCAGATCAGTGTACCATAGATTACTAGAAGTGGATTTACAAAACACGAATAAAACTCCGCTCGATTTTGAATCAATAGGATTTCAGGTATTGATCCAATCAAGAAATATGTCACTTCTCGCCTTTGGTTCACATACAGGAGGAATTTTGCTCCCATAGGTGGGTTTCCCCTCTTCTTGCGTATTGAGCTTTGAGCTTCTAAGCGCACTGTTCCCTAGATCATTAATTATTAGGTGGCACTGGCCCAGAGTCTGACCAAGGCTGGGGTTGCATGTTGCGATGTGCACAAATGCTCCTTGGGGAGGTTTTGCTTCGACGACACATTGGCAGGGATTTCGAGTGGAAGGAAGGTGTTCCTCCTACGGGTGATTACGAACGCATTTTGCGAATGTTTTTGGATGAGAAAACAGCTTTGTATTCAATCCATCAAATAGGTAAATTGCATAGATCTTATTTAATCTTAGCCTATAGAATGATTTTTCTTTTAGCACAAATGGGGGTTTCGGAGGGGAAAACAGTAGGAGAATGGTTTGGACCAAACACAGCAGGACAGGCATGCTTTCCCTTATTTTTTCTTCATTTGCTCCCTACATGCAGATTTACCCACTGCCTTTTCATCAGGTCATAAAGAAGCTCGCAGTGTTTGATTCGTGGTCAGGCATAGCTGTTCATGTAGCTCTTGATAACATACTGGTACTAAATGACGTTCGCACGATAGCGACGTTAGCACCGCCAAAGGATGCTATAAAGTTGATCACGGGTGAGTATCAAGAGGTTTTTTGAACACATCTATAAATACATCGCTCCTTGAATTCTCGAATATATTTAACTGCATATGGCGTCTAACTCATTAAAATCTAAACGATGCACACGTCCTATTATATTTTGAGTGTGAGTGGGTATGAGCGATATATTTCAACCTATTAAAAGTTTGCGTTGGTGCATTTGATGTGTGCTGTGCATCTCAACTATACTGCAATTACTAGTTATAGAAGAAAAAAACGTGGATGAGTCTTATATGACCCTCGTGAATGAAACAGTCGCATCCGATGACCAGAAATGTGACTGGCGGCCTCTTCTCCTGCTTGTGCCACTGAGACTAGGATTAACTAGTATTAATCGATGTTATCTCCCTGCTATAGAGGTATTTTTACTTTACAATCAACCTTTTTACATCTAGAGGTGTACTGTACTTTTTTCAGAATTTCTTCAAACTTGATTCTTGTGTTGGTATTATTGGCGGACGTCCTAATCATGCGCTATATTTTATTGGGATTGCTGGTGAAAAAGTATGCTTTGATCCAGCAGTCTTCACAAATTTTCAGAGAGGATCATCATTGCCCTATTTAGCTTGTATATCTTGATCCGCACTACTGTCGTCCTTCAATAATTGAGAAATATGGAAATACTAGGTGTCTTGAGGACGGATTCGTGAGCCTAGAGGTTATTCTACTTTTCAACGTTAAACTATGGGTTCAAATTGTTTGCTTATAGAGCGAAGACATCCCGCCTTCTGTTCCTGTTAAGGATGAAGGTTTGGATGACACAACTTTCCACTGCAAAATGCTTTTACATATGGATTATGATCAGGTACTAAGTTATCTATCAATGAAGATAATTTGTTAGTTTGGCAAATTTAAGGTTGACCCCTCGCTGGCATTAGCGTTCTTTTGTGAATCAGCGGATGCTTTTGAGAAGCTTAGTCGAGATCTGCGGCAGGTAGTGATTGTCGAGGGTGACCTCAAAAGTACTACATTAGTCGTCTAGTTTGCAGGATGTTTTCCCGTCATCAGAACCACCATTATTTGAGCAGCTGGAAACTCGCCCGAAATATTTGCCACCATTCGAACCATATACGGGTGTGAAGGCCAAAATAGAGATGAAAGGTGTGGAAAAATATTTATTTGCTTTTTCAAGCTCCTTTGTGCCTCCCTTGATCAAAATTAAATTTGTTCAGAGTTTGACGACATGTGCGCTCCGAATTATGTCATTGATGATGGGTTTGAAGTTCTTGAAGAGACAGAAGATCCGCTCACTGATTTGACGGAGGAAGCTTTGCAGAGTTGATAGAAATGGTCTCAATCATTTTGGAATGCTATATGAAATGTCCCTTGGACAATGAAATAACCAAACATTGAAAAATTAAGAAGCTAACAGTAAAAGCTTATCAATGCTCTAAGCTGCTATACAACTTTTTCTTTCTACTCACCTTGGACTTTGTTTTTTTATGATTGATGTGCTTGCTGGCTCGGGTACAAATACATATTTTCATGATAAATGTACAATTTCCAGGTTTGCTTTCAAAGTATTTCATCTTTGGAAATTTTGTTCTTGTGAATAAGTACAACTAGTAACTCAATTTCAATTTTTTTTTCCTGCGTTAAGAGATACGGGTCCATACCAATGATGAGAAGTAGTCGTCCCAATTGAGTCCCATCCATGAGGTAGAATAGAAACCTTCACCAAAAAACATCAACAGGAAACTGTGAGGTTTTAGGGTTAGTCAGCTCGTTCAAAGTTAGGATATTTTCGTACGCTGTTTTAAGCAAAGTAGAAGCTTAATTTTAAAAAATTTTTTTTTGCGAAGAGCGCTCTGTTCATACCAGCTACTAAAGAGATTATGTTCTTAATCCTATATCATTCCAATGTGAGTAAAGTGAAGAGTGTATGTTCGCAAACTCAACATTTTAACAATTTCATGCTGAGGGTTAAATTTAGTTGTGACTTCCACGCCGTTATACTCACGCGCAAGAGAACAGTGAGTTAACGCAAAGATGATTAATTCTCAATACAAAAGAAATAAATGGATGGCCCCGGAAATAGTACGAATCTCAATATTATGATGATCGCACTGCCATTGCTCAGTGAATCAAAAGCGGCTGAACTAACCAGCCACTTCCTTGCAAAATTTTCTATCTATTCTTTACAACATTTCTGTGAAAGAGAACCGAGAGCATAAGATGAAGGTTATGCAGATAATAGGAAATGGCGCAGGTGGTGGCGCTGAGATCATCTTGAGAATCATTTAAAAGAATGACAGTTTGGGTAAATATGGTTGCCATATAGCTAATCTTTTTTATTCCGAACATTCATACATACATACATTCATACAGACATTCTGCTTTATATCTTTTGTTTATCTGCCGTTTGACCCATCTTTTTAATGCTCCCAATTATAATATGATATTTCTTTATGCTAAATAGTATTTATATGA